GAACATATTTTAAAGACGACAGAGCTGAATGAGTTATAGATACGCCCGGAAAATTATAAAAAAAATTTGAAAATTTTTTGAACAGACATCATATATGCATGAAATGCAAGGAGTTTTACATGACTTAAGCCGGTTCTACAATAGGTACGTCGCAAACGATGGCAACTGCCAGTTGAAAAGTGTTATTTCTGCATGATTGCCGATTGCCAGTTACTGTCGCCAAAAAAGTTAAAAGTTCGCCAACTCTCATTTGACAATCGCAATTGACAAGCGCAACATAAAAATAACACTTTTCAACTAGCAGTTGCCATCTCTTACGACGTATTGTAGAATGGCCCTTACTCGTAAATCCTGAGATGATGATGTATGCACTCCGATATCTCCGTTTTGTCATTATTCGACGAAGAGAGTGCATGTTCCAGATATCTAACTGTTTTATTAATTATTAATTTGTGAAGACGATTTTCGAAAATTTCAAGCTGGGCACATGTTTGCAAAGACAATCCGAAAATTAAGGTATCCGTGCCGATACTCATCATTGTGCCAAAAATTAAAGATACAATTTGGTGAATAGATATAATCCAGAAAACTGGAGGTATATTATAATCCCATGGCAGCCATATTCGATAAGGTACATGACCTTGCATAACATTTAATACTGCTCCTATTGTAATGCCTATAATGGCGCTAGTCGCCAAAAGCGTGTATTTTATAGAATACGACCTGTAAATACAGAAAGAAAGTTATGCTATATTATTTAATATAACTTTTGTACATTTACAACATTTAAAATTTACTTATATATTTTATAAATGTAACAAAAATATTGTGTATATAAAATGCGTTAATTTATGACAGGATTTAATTATTCTGTGGTTACGTGTTTGTGTGTGTGTGTAATGCTGCTTTAAAATAATATTTATTTAAATTATTTTATATACACAATATTTTTTAATTCAACAAGATATAATTAGTAATTAAGTCATTAAATCTATATGACCACAATTATTCTAAAAGTATATAAAATGAGTAAAGTCCAACAATTAATAAAGGTCCTGTAAGGAGCGCTAAAAATATACATTCCGCATGTTTAGTTTGGTCTAGGACAAAAAGAAATATGTAAAATACAGTAAACGGACTATATTCTTGCGATAATTCGAGCAAAGTACGTTAATGTTTTACCATAAAATTTTCCAATTAATTATACATACCTGATAAATCTATCAAACTTTGTTTGTATCGCTGATTCGTCTTCGTCACAAGGTTTACACGGTGTTTTCATCAATAGTCGCATCAAATTGATAATCGCATTCCGACGCATCAAAACGACTGTCGCTTTAAAACATACGGCGGCAAGAGTCAGGAATATTAGAGTATTAGTGGCAAAATCATTGATATTGTCGACAATAAGTACTATATCCATAAATTGAGTTAACGCAACAAAGTATTCCGAGGATATTATAACAAAGGTGAATACATTGTACAATAGTTTTGCGACATTTGATGACCATTCACTAGGTCGCCATAAACCACAAAAGTTATACACTAAAAATTGTAATGTAAGTATTTGCATATTTGGATCGCTTTCTTTACAAACAACTTATCAATGGGCTGCACAAAAGTATAGTCTCTTTCTACATATAAAGAAAAGGATTAAAGCATTGCGAAAAGTATCTTATATCATACGTGCCAGATTAAATAGCCAACGAAACATATGTACATATAAGATAATTGTAAGGAAAATTAAATTTAATGCAAAAGCCTGTATAATATTTCACGAAAAATTAATAAATTAAATTAATAAATTAATAAATTTCACAAACTGATGATTAAATCACACACTTAACACTGAATGTAAATATCTGCGATAAATTTTATTCACTCAACTCATAGACCGCGTACTTTAGTTTGAGAATCGGACGGAGAATCTTAAATCGTGTGAATATAACTAGAAAGTAATATTTCTAAGTATTTATCGCGCACCTCTTTCAAAATCTTGCTACTAATACAACACAATTAACAAATATTATAGATACAACGTGTTTTACTATCGTGAATTTTGATAAGTTTTATTTAAATGTAACCATGCAAGGACGTTTTGCAACGGACTATGTAGTTTTACATAGTTCGATCAACTTCTAACCCCAGTAACAATAATAATGGTCATTAAAAAATCGAAACGTGAAGTCGTTTAGATATTTATTACGGAGTACTCGTTCTCTTCATCTTCTGTGCATACTATAATTCTGAAAGTTTTTCTACTTGCAATCATCGAGAGGTACTGTCCTTTACAGTCACGCACATTATGTTCTCATTGAATAAATTATTTGTACATCTTCATATTTACCTAAACTGAGTGGAAGATAGTATTTCTCGAAGAGCCCTATCATATTGCATAATATATACCACACAATGTAGCGAAGATGTATAAGACATTTAGATATTTTCTGAATAAACTGTCTGCACGTATGCCGACTACAAGTATACATAATAATTATATACCAACCCTATTCGCAACACAATACATCACATATGGAATTTACTGAAAAATTCCACCCACTTGACTTCATACTGAAGCGAAATTAATGTCGCTTGAAATCGCTTGAAATTGATGAATTGTACATTACATTCTACACAATAATGTGTAGAATGTATATATTCAATGTGCGTACATTAACCTCAGTATTCCTGGAATAGTAATAAGGGCTAAGATTGAAATAAATACGTAAACAGAAATTTTGGAAATACTAATTAATTTATGGAAAACTACATAATTATCGTGCTCAAGTACACGTTTGTTTATTTATATTTCACTTTTGAAGCACGTTGAATGCCGAGTATGACGCTTTCAAGATCTGAAAGGAAAATTAGAGAAATAGAATGGGAAGCCGTGCAGTTATAAAAATTTCAACTTGTACGTTTTTCGACATGCACCACAAATTGATATAATTTCGCGCACAAGTATTTACTTTGTTATCAAAATATTTATCACAACAAGACTACTAACACTGCCGTAAGATTCAAGAGAAAAAGTTATCAAGAAGCTACTTGTGAACGTTATAGGAATTGTGCTTCGCATCATGATTAACAGCAAGTCCTTTTGTTCGTTAACTGGTAGTAATGGCCAGTCCGTGCAATATATAGCATTTCCTATACTTATACTCTGTCAACACAATATAATTAAATTTATCAGTTTGCAATAATACTAAATAATTATCAGTATCTCTTAACATTACTAGTATAACATAAGTACATATGCGTATATATATGTGTATAAATATATATGTATATATAAACATTTTGATGTACCCATATAGGCCTATTGATTATTTTCAAATCTAAACATAAAGCGCTAAACTATCCTTCGAAATCTCGTAAAAAAGTGAGTTATACAGTTAAAGCACTTGCGAGTTCCCATATTTCTTAACACAGGTACATCATTTTGATACAAATTGTAGAATATATCAGTTGTTACCTTAAGAATTACTTCGTTTCCAGACCAACAATAAATGTAGATTTGTACAAACATGGTAATGGTATATATCAAAAAAGTCGCAAGTCCAGACATTTCCGTAATATGCGTTGTCAAGTGAAACACGCATGTACATAATACCAATATGCTTTTGAAGAATTGAATGAAGAACACCTGGTTGAATATGACGTTTACCGTTTTCGCGTATCTATAATCGTTTCACGTTAGTTCTGCATATACTGCATATTAGTTTAAAGCAATTACACTTTCAATATATAATTTTATAACATAATTTGTACAAATCCAAAAATTGCAAAAAATTTTACCATGTATCATTTACTAAAAACAAATTCTAAGCGAGCATTTAGATCTAACTTTTATTTTATGTCCCACACAATTAATCGCGGAATGTCCATATAATAAAATCACGGTGAAATGCAAATGATATATATCTCTTAACAACTGTATATTAGTATTAAATAACGTCAATTATATGATCTTTTTACTGTCAACACCTTTTCGTTATAAATCTTGAAGATTAACGCTATAGACAATAGCTATTATTTTTAAATTAGAAATTAATTCACGCATTCAAATACGGCAGACACTCAATCACGCACGTATAAACAGGTATTTGAATGCATGCATATAAGCATAACTTACTTGTAAATGATGAGATGATGACGTACGCATTCCGATATCTCCACATCGTCTTTATTCGACGTCGAAAGTTTATGCCCCAGATCTCTAACTGTTTTATTAATTATTAATTTGTGAAGACGATTCTCGAAAATTTGAAGCTGGACACACGTTTGCAAAAACAATCCGAAGATAAGAGTATCCGTGCCGATATCTATGTAACAGGCGAAAAGTGTAGTTATGATTTGATGACTAGATATAATCCAGAACACCAGAGGTATATTGTAATCCCATGGCAGCCATATTCGATAAGGTAAATGACCATGCATAGCATTTAATATTGATCCTAGAGTGAGGCCTGCAACGGAGCCTGTCGCCAAAAAATAGTATCTTGTCGATAACGTTCTGCAAACATGGAATCGAGATTAAATTGTATAAACGCACAAATTATTTGTACTTAAAATTCACAGAAATTTATAATTAAAAAATTTAAATACTAATTTGTAACTTCTATATGTGTTGTATGCAGCGGCGCCAACTAGGGAAAAATATTGAGGGGGGGGGGTTTGGGAGATGCATGAAATTATTATTTCAAATAATGGTTTTTTTTAGTAATCCTTACTTCGAGGAAAAATAAAGTATACAAAAGTATGTAGATTATATGTTTACATTTACAAGAAAATTTAGGTACAAACCGAATATTTAATGTACGTACAAAATTGGAAAGAAAACTTACACTTATCCTAATCGTAAAAAGTTTCCACAACGGACTAATAAACGGTTCGTAATAAATTCGGTTCGACTAATAAACTCGTTAGCAATAGCATTTATAAATATCGCTTGTTCGGATACGCACGTACATGTAAAATGCTTAAGCAATTTAACCGATTTTATGTCGTGGTACTTCGTAAATAAGTTAGTAATCTTCTTGCAGAAGAAAATAACTATTCGGCAGTACACGTAGTTATAGGGATCGTTAAAATTAATTTTACAAATTTGACCAACTCTGGCAGCAAATCCACAAGATATTGTTTCTGCTGTAGTAAACGAACGACATTATCAAAATTCGTAATTTCAAAGTTATTGTGGGGCGCTGCCGCAATAAAAATTATTAGTGGGGCAAAAAGTGCTCTGCCCCCACAAAGTCGGCGCCTATAGTTGTATGCTTAATAATTAATTTAAAATGATATTTATGAAGCTCCTTTAATAAAAAGCTGTTTAATAATTAAACAAAATGTTGAAAATTACCGTATCTTCTTATATATAAAAATGATAATTTGGAAATATATGATGAACGTAATTTAGTAAGAAATAAACGGTCCGGAATTTGTGTTAAAGAAACAACATTGATCAATACCATACTGATCAAATTTGGGCGATACAGAAATAATATATGCTGAACATATATAATAGTAAATTATTACATAAACATTTTAAGTCGGTAATATTAATAGTTTAATATTGGAACGTTTTAATAAACATATGAACTTACCTGATAAACTTATCAAATTTCGTTTGGATAGCTACTTCATCCTCGTTTCGAGGTTTATGTGGTGCTTTCAGCAATGATTCCACTACGTTGATGATCGCATTCCGACGTATCAAAATGAAAGTTGCTTTACAACAAACGTTAACCATAGACAAAAACAATAGTGCAGTAGCGATAAAATCATCAATATTGTCGACAAAAAGTACTATATCCATAAATTGAGTTAACACCCTAAAGTATTCCGAACATATTACACCGTAGGTAAATATACTATACAGCAGCTTAGCACCATTCGATGACCACTCAATAGGTCGCCATATACCACAAATGGTATATGTTAGAAATTGTAAAGAAAGTATTTTCATATTTGTATATCTCTTTCTTCACAAACAACTTATTGTTATATTTCACAAAAGTATAGCCTCTTTCTATATATAAAAGTATCTAAAAAAGTAGTTTACAGTTTGCAAAAAATATCTTATTTTAAATAATTAATTGAATGTTCAGTGTAAGGCAATAGTTAAGAAAAATTATATTTAATGCAAAAAGTAAAATAAAGTTGTATAAATAGATTACGTGAAGTATTAAATTCCACAATCTGATTTTAATTGGAAACACTGAATACATGATCCGAATGTATCCAATTAAGAAAGATTTTATACGTTTAATGTACAGATCGCGTCCAATGCTATCGCGGGTTAAATACTGGACAACCTTATTTAAACGTGATGTAATATATGATTTGTGAGAATATAACTAGAAAGTAATATATTTATAAGCGTAATGAAATATATTTATAATCACACACCTTATTTCGGAATATTGGTTTTTCAGTATTGTGGCTAATAATACAACGGAATTTAAAACATCATAAAACAAATACACTGATACAATATGTTATTTTCTTATTGTAATGGTCAATAAATTTCACTTAAGTGTAACCGAGCACGTTTTGCGACAGACTGTGTATAGTTTTACCCACTTCAGCATCTTGTCAACCCTACTACAATTACGGCCATTAAGAAATCGACATGAAGTTATTAAATCATTTATTATGGAATACACGTTCTTTTCTGTTCTTGCGAATACTACAATTGTAAAAGTTTTCCTACTTGCCGTCATCAAGGAAAGTCGTCTTTTATATTCCCGCACGTTGGTATATTCCATTTGAATAATTTATTTGTACATCTCTTGTCCATCGGAACTACGAAGAATATCGTATCTTCCGCAAAGTTTCCCGCTCTATTACATAAAAATACCAGACGATCGTATAAAGAATGTGATGCATAATATACTCAATGTCAGAGCATATTTCTCAAGTTGCTTGTATACTACTTATGAGGTATGACGAGTGTACAGGAAAACGACACAATGTATTAATTCTATACTCAATACATCACATGTAGCATATAGCATGAAAAATTATTCTTTTCTAACTTTAATGCTAGAGCCGAAATTAGTGCTGCTTGTACGTCAGATACAAACGTGGATGGTATTACAGTGTAAAATGTCTACGTACAATGTTCATCGCGTTAATATTCTAAAAAGCCAAATAAAAGTAAGGTTGAAATAAACACGCAAACAGAAATTTCCAGGTTTAGAAACATGTATTTCATTATATTTTGTACAATATTTGTATTCAGTTTGCATTGATTGACGCCATTATTCCTGGACTCGTAATACAGAGTAATATTGAAATAAATATCTGAGCAGAAACTTTCGGATTTATTAACTAATTTATGAAAAAACCTACATAATCATTATCTCCAATTACACGTTTGGTTATTTATACTTTACTGTGTAAGTACATTAAATGCCGAGTATGACGCTTTCAAGATCTGAAAGGAAAATTAGAGAAATAAAATAGAAAGCAATGGAGTTATAAAAATGTTTACTTGTACGTTTTCCGACATGCACCATAAATGTGCAGACATTGATATAATTTCGCGCACAAGTATTTACTTTGTTATCAAAATATTTATCACAACAAGACTACTAACACTGCCGTAAGATTCAAGAGAAAGGGTTATCAAAAAGCTGCTTGTGAACGTTATAGGAATTGTGGTTCGCATCATGATTAACAGCAAGTCCTTTTGTTCGTTAACTGGTAGTAATGGCCAGTCCGTGCAATATATAGCGTCTCCTACACTTGTACTCTGACAACACAATATTATTAAATTTAACACTCCATAATAATACTGAATAATTATCAATATCTTTTAACATTACTAGCATTACATATGTATATTCGTATTAGGGTGATCCTTATTTTTTCGACTTTTAAATTTATTATGCGGTACCTTCCAGAATGTTTTTAATCCGCAAAAAAATAATCCCCGCCAAAGCTCAGCTCGATCGGATGACGGAAATCCGTGCCTCCGGATTTTTAAACATATGAGTTCTCTTGTATTAAACTGTTTATTCCATCAGCATTGGTTTTTAAAGGCGTTATTTTCCACAAAAATCGACCTAAAGCCCTTTTCTTTTTTTAACATGTGTGTCTTGCTTTTCTACATCGTTTGAGACCTTATACGTCTCATTTAAACAATTAGGTAAATTGTTAATAACTAAAAAATAAAAATAAAGGACCACCCTAATATGTATATATATAAATGTTTATATACGCATACAAGTCTATTGATTATTTTCAAATCTACATATAAAGCTAAATTATCCTTCGAAATCTTGCAAAAAAGTGAGTTATAACAGGTAAAGCACTTGCGAGTTCCTACTTTCTTAACTAAGGTACATCATTTTGATATGGATTGTAGACTATATCGATTGTTACCTTAAGAATGACTTCGTTTGCAGACCAACAATAAAGGTAGATTTGTAGAAACATGCAAATGGTATATCCCACAAAAGGCGCAAATGCAGACAGTTCATTAATATACTTTGTCAAGTAATAAATGCATGTACATAATACCAATATGCTTTCAAAGAATTGAAAGAAGATTACTTGGTTGTATATAATGTTCACCGTTTTAGCGTATCTATAATCATTTCACGTTAGTTCTGCATATACTGCATATATGAGTAAAGCAATTACACTTTCAATATATAATTTTATAATATGATTTGTACAAATCCAAAAATTGTAAAAAAATGTTAGCATGTATCATTTACTAAAACAAAATCTACTTAAACTTAATTCTAAGCGAGCATTTACATCTAATTTTTATTTTATGTCCCACACAATTAATCGCGGAATGTCCGTACAATAAAATCACGCTGAAATGCATGCTCCTCCGTTTTCTTAACAATTGTATGTTAGTAATAGTAAATAACGTCAGTTATATGATCCTTTTACTTTCAAATCTTTTTCGTCATAATTCTTGAAGATTATACCGCCATAGATAATAGTGATTTTTAAATACAGAAATTAATTCAAGCATTCAAATACGCAGACACTCAATCGCGCACGCACACATAAAAAGACATTTTAATATAAACATGCATATAAACACCTGTCATAACTCACTTGTAAATGATGAGATGATGACGTACGATTTCCGATATCTCCACTTCGTCCTTATTTGACATCGAAAGTTTACGTCCCAGATCTCTAACTGTTTCATTAATTATTAATTTGTGAAGACGATTCTCGAAAATTTCAAGCTGGGCACACGTTTGCAAAAACAATCCGAAGATTAGAGTATCCATGCCGACATCTATGTAACAGGCGAAAAGTGTATTTATGATTTGTTGAATAGATATAAACCAGAACACCATAGGTGTATTGGAATCCCATGGAAGCCATACTCGATTAGGTAAATGACCATGCATAACTTTTAATATTGA